TATATATATATATATATATATATATATATATATATAGGATACCTCAAAAAAATACAATGCAATTTAACAAAAGTCATTATTTAATAAAGCGAAATTTTATTTATTTATAGTTCACAAGTCACGGCAGTCACATAGTGACTGCAAGGTTGCTAGTTAATTATTAATTTATTTTGTTTCAGTTTTAATATCAATTTTTCTTCTAATATTAAAAATAATTAAATAATTTTAAAATATAAATTAATTACATAACTTAGCAGTTTATTAATAATTAATCTATTTTGTTTCAGTTATAACGAGCCTCGCTATCGGATCGCTGTCGCACTCGACGCAAGCGATAAATGAAGACTATCGGGAAGCGTATTTCAATGGTACGGGATTCCTCAAGCTCGGCTCGACGGTTTCAGTTCATCGACACAGCGGATTAAGTTTTCGAACTTGCGAGGGCGGAAGATTGTTCCTCCAGACCTACAACGATGACATGATTAGTCTGGATGTCACCCCGGACGGGCTGATTTTCACCGCTATCATCGACAAGCAGCGATACGAGGCGAAACTTATCGCTAAGCTGCTTAATAACATCTGGCACAACATTAGCCTGTTCTTCAAACTCGGCAATCTAACTCTCACTGCCGCTGGACACAGTCAAGTAATTGCTTTTTAATACCTTATTATTTTAATTATCACAATAATGAATAATAATTCGTGCTATTATCTTCATTTTAATTAATTCCAAGTGTGTTATTATTTTTTTATGCTTTTACTTTTTAGATCATAGCCAACGCAACTTACAATTCAGCTATTCTCATGCTGCCTGATTATAATGTTAATAGTACTCTAATTGTCGGCGAAGGCTTCAAAGGATGCATTCTTCAAGGACCCGGAATTCTTTTTAATAATACTTATAATTATGGAGCTATTTTGGGAAAATGTCCCACTGATTTACGTAGTTGTAAGTTTCTTTTTTTTTTTGTTTTAAATATTGTTAATAATTTACTAAAAAAAAAATTAGTTGATTTAAGAGAATTTATTTTATTCATTGATTTTTTTTAAATTTCTTAAATTAATTAGAAACAAAATATCTCAAATTTTGAAATAATTTTTTTTTTAATCAATTAATTTTTTTTTTTTAATCAGATAAGACGATTAAAAAAAAGAATTTAATAAAAATTTCATTTTACTAATTTTTTATTATTTAAATTAAATCCAAGAGAATTTATTTTATTGATTATTTTTTTTTTAATTTTTTAAATTAACTAGAAATAATTATTTCAAATTTAAAAAATAATTTTTTTTAAATCAATTAATTTTTTTTAATCAGATAAGACAATTTAAAAAAATAATTTAATTTTTTATTATTTAAATTAAATTAATTAATTTTTTCTACACAATAAGAATATTTTCAATAAAAATAAAATTTAGTTAAAAAAAAAAAATTAATTAATTCAAGAGAATTTATTCTATTTATTATTATTTTTTTAAATTTATTCGAACTAAATATTTCAAATTTTAAAAATAATAATTTTTTTTTTAATCAGATGAGACAATTTAATTTTTTATTTAAATTAAATTTATTAATTTTTTATTAATATTTTCTAAACAATAAAAATATTAATAAAAATCAAGTTTAATTAAAAAATTTTATTTTAATCAATTGCGCGTAACTTTTCTAATAAAAAAAAAATTTTTAATTACTAATCTCACAAAAAATAATTTAGAAATTTGAATAACTTTCTTCGAATATTAATTAAAATTTTCTTTCGAACTATAAAGACAAATTAATGTAAGTTAATTGGAGTAAGACGGCAGTGTAAAAATCCTCCAATGAACATTTAAAGTGTTCAATTTAATCGAACTAAATAATTTCATCTCTTGGTCAATTGAATAAGGAAAAAAAAAATTATATTATTTATAAAATCAAGATAATTATTCTTTTTATAAATCGTCTTATCGAATTTTTCAGTATAGTAAATGATAAAAAGCTAGATAATGAAATAAATGATATTAGCTCATGAAGAATACTTATATAAATATACAGCACAGTGTTTATTTAAGAGAGTGTAATCACGCAAATAATTAAAATAAGTAGGCCAGCATTTAGCTAGTGTAATATATAGAGTACAGTAGAGAGCATGCTTTTATCTTACCATTACAGGTGGACAGAGCAATGTCGGGAGTACAATGGGAGGGCTATCGAGTGATATATCCAAGAATTATTGTCACAATGAGCCGTGTATGATGCACGGAAAGTGTATCCCCCTGATAGATGGATACGAGTGCCAGTGCTCAGCGAGATATTCCGGGAAAAACTGTCAGATTGACAATGGTAGAGATTTTTATTATAAATAATGAATTATAAGCAAACAAAAGCTAAATTACAAAGGGTGTAAGGTTACTTTCAACAGATTATCCGCTTATCCAGCATTTAAGTTTACTGAATCTTTCTCACATCCACTATACTTACATTAGTAGTCCGCTATACTATAAATTAATAAAATTTACATAGTGAATAAAATTTAAATACGCTTCTCTAGATTTTTTCCCGAGGTTTTTTTTTATTCCCAGCTCTTTTGTTATTAACGCTTCGCATGCAAATTTAAAAGTATCATCTATGCATTTAGCTTGAACACATATACTACTCATACATAAATTAAAATCAAAGTAAAACAATGGAAACTGTAAATAAATATTAACTGTTTTTAGGCTCGCCGTGTAACAGCAATCCGTGCAGAAATTTGGGAACTTGCAAGGAAGACGAGAAGGGAGACTACATTTGCATTTGTTCTCATTCGTATACGGGTTATCACTGCGAGTCCCAATTGAGCGGACGCTCGTGCAAAGATAATCCCTGCAGAAACAAGGGCATATGTTTGGCGTTCGGTGAGACTGACTACAAATGCAAATGTGCTCCTGGATGGGCTGGAAGACACTGCGAAATAGATATTAACGAGTGTGACCCAAATCCCTGCAAAAACGGCGGTCGGTGTGTTGACGGAATCGATACTTACACGTGCAGGTGTGAAAGCACTGGGTAAGTTTCATAAGCATTAGTTTTATTCATTATCATATTTATTCTTGATGGTAATCCTCGTACTTGGAAATTAATTTCGGCTTCCTATCTAAGACTAATTTATTTAATTTATTTTATTTTATCTTTAAGTACACTGATATAGAAGGATTTATTTATAGATTATAAATTTATGGATTTATTTATTTCATTCAAACAATTACTTTTTTTTTATTTTAATAACTATCATTCAGGTAAATAAAATATTTATTAATTATTATTTAATATATAATTTATATTATTAAGAGAATAAGAAAAATTTTTTGTCGAGGATAGTCATATAATAAAATCGGTTTTTTTAGTGAAATTTAGTGTCATTGCAAAGGTCTTGATTTGAATTTGTGCCTTTTCAAGGTTTCATATCATTCTCACCGATAGTCAATTTTGTATGATAAGTATTTTGGCTACATTCGAAAATACTCTCTAGACTTTGTATCTTGTGAAATATTGAAATTTTTAAAGATATAAGCTCATCCCGATGTTACAATCATCAAGACCTTTCATTTGAGTACCCACATCGATTTTTCATATATTTTACAAATACCATATATATATAATATATAAAGAATGACATGTGGGTACTTAAATGAAAGGTCTCGATGAGTGTAACATAGAAATGAGTTTATATCTTTAAAAATTTCAATATTTCACAAGATACAAAGTCTAGAGAGTATTTTCGAATGTAGCCAAAATACTTATCATACAAAATTGACTATCGGTGAGAATGATATGAAACCTTGAAAAGGCACAAATTCAAATCAAGACCTTTGCAATGACACTAAATTCCACTAACAAAAACTGATTTTGTCATATGACTATCTTGGGCACAAAATTTTCCTTATTCTCCTAATAATATAGACTATCAACATAACAATTTAAGTTTACCTCCTTAAGGAAACAAAATAAAATGAAGCAATTATTCTTTTGTCTGGAACAATATCGTCCAGTCATTTAATCCTTCCGCTGGATTTTCTCGTCTCACCACATTGCATTGCATTAGCCCGGATATACCCGCACATACATACATAAAATATATAAATATATAAAAGCGTTTCAATATACAGGATATAGTTTCATATCATTCTCACCGATAGTCAATTTTGTATGATAAGTATTTTTGGCTACATTCGAAAATACTCTCTAGACTTTGTATCTTGTGAAATATTGAAATTTTTTAAAGATATAAGCTCATCCCGATGTTACAATCATCAAGACCTTTCATTTGAGTACCCACATCGATTTTTCATATATTTTACAAATACCATATATATATAATATATAAAGAATGACATGTGGGTACTTAAATGAAAGGTCTCGATGAGTGTAACATAGAAATGAGTTTATATCTTAAAAAATGTCAATAACTAAGAAATGACATTGTATCTTGTCAAATAATGATATTTTTTAAAATATAAGCCCGCCTCGACATTATACTCATCGAGACTTTTCATTTGAATACCCACATCAATTTTTCATATATTTATATATATTATATATATGTATATATAAAAAATATATGAAAATGCATGTGGGTACTCAAATGAAAACTCTTGATGAGTGTAACATCGGGATGAGCTTATATCTTTAAAAACGTCAATATATAAGAAAGTACCGTACAATTTAACAAAAGTCATTATTAATAAAGCAAAATTTCAATTTTTTATAGTTCAGAAGTCACGGCAGTCACATAGTGACTGCAAGGTTGCTAGTAATTATTTAATTTAGTTAAATAATATATTTAATATCAAAAAATATTATTTAAGAAGAGAAATATTTATTAACTAATTAATAAACATTTTTGAATAAATAATTAATTAATTATTATTCAATATAAAAAAATATTTATAAAATCATTTAACGTTAAAAAACTATTGATTAAAAATAAAAATAAATTCACCAAAAATAACAATCCTTAGGTACGAGGGTAAAAACTGCGAGATAAACATCGACGAGTGCGTAAACAACCCCTGTTTGAACAAAGGCCACTGTTACGACAATTACGGCGGCTATGTATGTCACTGCCCGGAAGGATTCGAGGGCCAGAATTGCGAGCTGAATCTCAACGAGTGTATTTCAAGCCCCTGCAAAAACGGAGGTACCTGCGTCGACGACGTCGGATCTTATCACTGCAATTGTCTGGCGGGCTTTGCCGGAGAGCACTGCGAGAGACGGAATAACTGCGAAAACAGGGTCTGTCCTTCGAACAGCATTTGTCTGGACGTCAAGGGCGGTGCTCAGTGTGTTTGCAAGCCGGGGTACATGGGGAATCCCCCGAATTGCAGCATAAACTTGTGCGCTAGCAACCCCTGCGAAAACGGCGGTACCTGCAGCAGCAATAACGACGGCTACAATTGCACTTGCCCGTCCGAATGGAAAGGTAATTTTATTGTTAGTTTTTACTCTGCTGATAAATAATTTAATTAATTAATTACTTATAATAATAATAATAATTATTATTGAGTTAATTGTGCATGGGACTTGACTGCATTGTTTAATCGGGATAATATGTGTTGTTGTTTTAATTGTCTTGCTCACCTTCATCTCACAATTAGGATCGCATTGTCATATCCCGGTGTCTGATTGGTGTTCGGTGTGTTACAACGGCGGTACTTGCATTGAAACCATCTATGGTGTGATGTGCCAGTGCCCCAGATTTTGGACTGGATCCCAGTGCAAAGAGCCAGTCACCTGCCGAGATAACTTGCCTTGTAGACAAGCGACTTCTTGCCATGACTATGTGAGTTATCATTATTAACAATCGACACCTCATCAAAATTCATTAAAACCTCCATTTGTGTTAATAATCCATTTTTTACAAACTATTTTATTTAATCAACTCAAATGCAGCCTGGGGGTTATTACTGCAGCTGCGAGCCAGGTTGGACTGGACCGGATTGCTCGATCGACATTGACGAGTGCTCTAATGATCCTTGTCGGAACGGAGGAATTTGTATCGATCAAATAAATAATTATTTTTGTCAATGTTTGCCGGGTTTTACGGGTTTGTGTGTTTTTATTTTGCTTCGCTTGCTTTACAATTATTTGCTTAACTGTTTGCCAATTAGCTTTAAGCGCTAGTTTTTTTTATTAAGTAGGTCTGATTGCTGTCGGTTTTAAAAAGTGTTGAATTGCTAATTATTATTTTTTTTTATTCTGGTAGTTTGTTATTATTTCAGTAAAATTGTTGATTTCTTGAGAATTTTATTTTATAAACAAATTTTTTAAGAATTATAAACATCAGATTGACAAGTTTATGTTTAAATATTTGCCGATTAGATAAAGTGGAAAAGAAAAAATTGTTAAGTACATATAAAGTAAATGATTTTATTTTTAGTATTGAATATTTTATTCATTATTATTATCATGATTTTTATTTCTGAGAAATCTTATATTATAACATTATTAATATTGATTAATCTATATTATTAAAAGAATAAGACAAATTTTGTATCCAGTGTATTTATATGATAAAATCGGTTTTTTTAGTGAAATTTAGTGTCATTGCAAAAGTCTTGACTTAAATTTGTGCCTTTTCAACGTTTCATATCATTCTCACCGATAGTCAATTTATTATGATGAGTATTTAGGCTGCATTCGAAAATGCTCTGTTTCTAGATACATAATTAAGAAATGACGCATCTCGTGAACTATTGACATTTTTAAAGATATAAGCTCATCCCGACATTACATTCATCGAGACCTTTCATTTGAGTACCCACATCAATTTTTTATATATTTTATATATATTATACATATGTATATATGAAAAATATATCAAAATGCATGTGGGTACTCAAATGAACGCTCTTGATGAGCGTAACATCAGGATGAGCTTATATCTTTAAAAATATCAATAATTAAGAAATGACCTTGTATCTTGTCAACTACCGACATTTTTAAAGATATCAGCTCATCCCGATGTTACACTCATCAAGACCTTTCATTTGAGTACTGAGCTTTTATCTTTAAAAATGTCATTATTTGACAAGATACAATATCATTTCTTAATTATTGACATTTTTTAAGATACAAACTCATTTCGATGTTACACTCATCGAGACCTTTCATTTGAGTACCCACATCAATTTTTCATATATTTATATATATTATATATATGTATATATGACAAATATATCAAAAATACATGTGGGTACTCAAATGAAAACTCTTGATGAGTGTAACATCGGGTTGAATTTATATCTTTAAAAACGTCAATAGTTAAGAAAGTACAGTGCAATTTAACAAAAGTCATTATTTAATATATAAAGCAAAATTTTATTTATTTATCGTTCACAAGTCACGACAGTAACATAGTGACTGCAAGGTTGCTCGTATAATTTTATTAATAATAATAATAAAAATTCCAACAAAACTTTGAACAACACCGACAGCAATCCGACCACTAAAAAGAAAAATAACTCAAAATCTAAACCAAAAAATTTCTATCCCAGGTAAGACATGTCAAATAAACGTCGACGAGTGTTCATCGCAGCCATGTATGAACGGCGGAACCTGCATTGACAGTACAAACGGCTACTCCTGCAACTGCACATCTGATTACATGGGAGAGCACTGCGAGCGCGAGTACGACGCCTGCGCAATAAACCCTTGCACGAACAATGGAACCTGCACCCTGACACCCCGCTCCAAACTAGAGTACGTCTGCCACTGTCAACCGGGCTTCGAGGGCAAGAACTGCGAGATAGACGTCGACGACTGCATCTCTGTAGTCTGTCCAGGAGACCGAGTGTGCGTCGACGCGGTCGCCGGTTACGAGTGCAAATGTCCTGAAGGCTACCGGGAACCCAACTGCACCTTAATAGTGAACCACTGCTTGAAAAATCCCTGCATCAACAACTCAACCTGCGTGGACCTAGGCGAGCTGGACAGCTTCCGATGCGACTGTGCTCCAGGGTACACCGGGACGAACTGCGACCTGGACATCAACGAGTGCGAGTTACTAGGTAACAACTCCTGCAACAACGGGATCTGCTTCAACACCGTCGGCAGCTACAACTGCTACTGCCGTCCTGGATTTTCCGGGGACCACTGCGACGTCGACGTGAACGAGTGTCTCTGCGGGCCCTGCCAGCACAACGGGACCTGCATCGACAAGATAAACTCATACGAGTGCAGGTGTCCTCCGGGCTACGGCGGGAAAGACTGCGAGATTGACATTGACGAGTGCGAGAGCAATCCCTGCAAGAACAACGCCGCCTGCATCGACCAAATCGCAGCTTACACCTGCGACTGCGTTCTAGGGTTCACCGGGCACGACTGCGAGATCAACATCAACGACTGCGAATCCCAGCCGTGCCTGAACTACGGCCGGTGCATCGACGGCATCAACAACTACACCTGCGACTGCAAAAACACCGGATTCGAGGGCGAGCACTGCGAGACAAATATCGACGAGTGTCTCTCCAACCCTTGCGTGAATCAAGCTGTCTGCGTCGACGACATAAAAACCTACAAGTGTCGCTGCTTCACAGGTTATACCGGGCAGAACTGCGAGATTGACATCAACGAGTGCGAGAGCTCTCCCTGCCAGTACAACGGAACCTGCTTGGAAAGATCCAACCAGGAGTTGTACAAGAGCAACGCCAGGAACTTACCGGGAATATTCACCCAAGAATTCAGCTACGCAAACGCCAGCGGGTACGAGTGTCTCTGCGTCCAGGGACTGACTGGCCAGAACTGCGAGAAGAACATCAACGAGTGCGAGAGCAACCCTTGCATCTACGGAAAGTGCAAGGACAGAATCGGCGGGTACACTTGCGAGTGCGATGACGGATTCGAGGGCGACCACTGCGAGCATGACATCGACGAGTGCATGCGCTACCAGCCTTGCCAACGGGGAAACTGCTCCGACGCAGTGGCTGACTACTACTGCGCCTGCGAGCCGGACTACGGCGGTAAAAATTGCTCAGTGGCGCTGATCGGGTGTCAAGGCAAAGCTTGCCAAAACGGAGGAACTTGCTGGCCTTATTTATTCAACGAAACCCAACACAGGTTCAACTGCACGTGTCCTTACGGTTTTCACGGGGACATTTGCGACCACGTCACCACCATGTCGCTCAGCGGAAGTTCTTACGTCATGATAAACACGAGTCGTGACGAAGGCTACGATATCCAATTTAGATTCCGCACAACTCTTCCCAACGGACTTCTGGCTATGGGCAAAGGAACTACCTTCTACATCCTGGAGCTGGTTGACGGCAAGCTTAATTTGCACTCCAGTATTCTGAATCGTTGGGAGGGAGTCTTTATAGGAAGCGGGCTTAATAATTCCAAGTGGCAGAGAGTTTTTGTAGCTATCAACGCGACGCATTTGGTGCTGTCTGCTAACGATGAGCAGACTATCTATCCGATTAATTTGAACGAAGGTTCAACGACCTCTCCGACGACTTTCCCGACGACTTACGTCGGAGGAACTATCAGCTATCTTCGGAAATTGACTCACGGCCCGCCGTTCTTTATTGGGTGCACTGAAGACGTGATAATCAACGGAGAGTGGATCTACCCGGACATGAATTCTGATAGTGTGCTGATGGAGTCCATTGAGCCTAGGTGTCCTCGCGAGGAGCAGTGTCTTCCGAACCCCTGCAAAGCTGGAGGACACTGTACTGATCGCTGGCAAGACTTTTCCTGCAAGTGCGAGCGACCTTACCTTGGACACACTTGCCAGTACAATATGACTGCCGCGACTTTCGGATACGAGAATATCAAAGACGGCTACGTGATGGTAAAAGTCGCTGACGCTGCAAGACGAGCCATGAGGTATATTGTTGACATTTCAATGTTCATCAGGACTCGCGAGCAGCGTGGTGATATTTTTTATCTAGGTTCTGAACTGAGTCCTTCTGATCCCAAGTACCTGGAGAACACCTACATCGCAGCGCAGCTGGAAGGAGGAGAATTGCTGGTGCGCATGCAATTCAACGGCACTGAGTCTTACACTGTTGATGGAGTCAAGCTCAATGACGGCAACAACCACTTGATCCAGGTGATCAGGAACCTCACACTGGTCCAGGTTAAGATTAATGGAACTGAGTACTTCAGAAAGACTATTAGTGCTACAGGACAGCTCAATGTTACTGTTTTGTATCTGGGTGGGCTTCCCCAGGTCTCGAGGTACATCAGGCAGGTCGACAGGAGCCAGATGGAGCTACAGGTCCCGCCGAACAACAAGGTCAATTTCAAGGGTATTATTCAGGACGTGAGAATATCAAACGGAGCTGAGACTATGGTTGTGGAGTTCTTCCCGCTTAAGGCTAAAGACATCCCTCCGCCGATTCAGTTTGGGAATGTTACTTTGGACAAGGAAAAAGTGTTGCCGGGTGAAATATCTGATCCAGTGTGCAAGAGCAATCCTTGTTATCATAATGGAACTTGTCATGTGACTTGGAACGACTTCTGGTGCCAGTGTCCGAGAGGTTACACCGGTAAGACTTGTCAGGAAATGGAGTTCTGTCAGCTGCAAGATTGTCCTCAGGGATCCAAGTGCCAGAACCTTGATGGAGGGTACGAGTGCATCGCTAATGCTACTTTTGACGGTACAAGCACTTCTTTCACTTATGTTTACAACCAGTTGAAGAAGAAGAATATCATGGAGTCCGGGATTGACTCCATTGAAATAATGTACAGGTATGATATTAAAGTTACCAGTCGCTTGACCATTTTTTAATTTTATTTGTTCCGAAAAAATATTAAGAAAAAATTGCATTTTTAGTTTTTTAAAATTCTTACATATTAATTGTTTTTTAAAATAATTTATTTGTTACAAAAATGATTAAATACCTGCTAAATTAATTTCCATTAAAATTAGCAGTGACCTGACTATATTTTATTTTTTTTCAAGAAAAAAATTTCAAAAAATTATTAAAAAAAAATTGTATTTTTAATTTTTTAAAATTCTTACGTATCAATTTTTTTTTCTGATTTTTTTTTTTGACATAATTTATATGTTACAAAAATTATTAAATATCTGCTAAATTAATTTTCATTAAAGTCAGCAATCACTTGACCATTTTTTAATTTTATTTAACAAAAAAATTTGTTCAAAAAATGATTTTTAAAAAATTCCATTTTTAATTTTTAAAAATTCCTACGTATCAATTTTTTTTTCTAATATTTTTTAAAATAATTTATTTGTTACAAAAGTGATTAAATATCTGCTAAATTAATTTCCATTAAAATTAGCAGTGACTTGACTATATTTTATTTTTTTTTAAGAAAAAAATTTCAAAAAATTATTAAAAAAAAATTGTATTTTAAATTTTTTAAAATTCCTACATATCAATTTGTTTTCTTCATTTTTTTGCCATAATTTATTTGTTAAAAAAATGATTAAATATCTTCTAAATTAATTTTCATTGTACAGATCCAACAGCGGAGGTACTTTGATGCACATGGCGCCTCACGGGTCAACCGACCAGCATTTCACAGTGTCTGTCTACAAAGACAACGTGACAGTGGCCTGGAAATTGGACGTTCTAAACCAAGACACTGTATCTTTCGGCAAAGAATTGGCCGACGGCAACTGGACCTCGATAATCCTCAAATTATCCACCAACCAGATAGTTTGCGGCTACAAGAACACTCTAGACGAAACAACAGCGCATTCCAGCACCAAGTTCAACCTGTTAGCGTGGTACGACCTGCTGAGCACCGGAGCGATAACCCTGGGCGGACTGGCCAGTAGTTTATGGAACGCCAGCGGGTTCGACAAAGGAATCAACGGGAACAGCGTGGAGCTGCTGGAGCACCAGCTGACGACTTCGACCCCTCCGCATGAAATGATGTCTGGAGAAGCTTTCAAGGGTTGTTTAGGCGAGGTCAGGATTGGAAGCATGCTCCTGCATTATTTTACATTCGAGCAGGTTTACGGAAACGCGAATTTCACTCCGAGTGAGTACTTGGCACTCCAGTCGAACACCAGCCACAGCATCGGGTGTCAGCTGTGCTTCGAGCACGAGTGCAAGAACAACGGGCACTGTCACGACGAGTTGAACAGCTACGTGTGTGATTGTCCGTCGGGGTACACTGAGGCGGACTGCTCGGTGGACATCGACGAGTGCGAGAACAATAATTGTCAGAACAACTCGACTTGCATTGACGGGATCGCTAATTACACCTGCGAGTGCACTAGAGGCTGGCAGAGCTGGCAGTGCGACAAGGATGTAAACGAGTGTGTGCCAACGAGTCCTTGCCAGCACGATGGAGTGTGCGTCAATCTCCCGGGGTCTTTCAAGTGCGAGTGTCCGGACTCCTTCACTGGAGAACTCTGCGAACAGTTCCGGCTGATCACTTGCAAGGATCATCCGTGTGAAAACGGGTCCACTTGCAGCGACGTCGTTAATCATGAGACTGGAGATAATTTCACTTGCAGTTGTCTTCCGGGGTATGAGGGTGTCAGGTGCAACGTCGCTTACTGCAATGTCAAGAACCAGCGGTGCCAGAACGGCGGCAGATGCGACTCCTTTTTTTATCAGTCGCCTCAGTGTACTTGCTTGAGAGGATTTGCGGGAAGGTACTGCGAGATTAATATTGATGACTGCGCCAAGGATGAGCAAGGCAATGTTCCTTGTAAAAATGACGGAGCTTGTGAGGATGGTATTGATAATTATACTTGCAATTGCACGGGGACTGGGTACACTGAGCCCAATTGCAGCGAAGATATTGATGAGTGCGCGCTTGGGGATTATGACTGCGGGAGAGGAAAATGTATCAACTCACCTGGGTCGTTTCATTGTGAATGCGAGCCTGGGTACTGTGGGTACAATTGCGGGATGGAAAATCCTTGTCATGATGTATGTAATTTATTTTTTTTTTATGAGGAGTGATGGGTTATTTTATTTATTTGGTTTTTTTTTTTTGCCCTTTTTTTTTTTTTTTTTTTTTTCAGGACATTTGCTTTAATGGAGGAACTTGCGAGTGCAATGTTGAAAGCAATGGGTATGTTTGTGTTTGTCCTTCTGGATTCACGGGGCAAAATTGCTCGGAGGTAATTGATATTTTATGATGCTTAAGTTTACTGACAAATTTTTTTTATTTTTATAACAAATTAAAATTATAACAATGAAAATTCTTCTAAAAATTTTTTTTAATTTTCACATGTTTTTTTCTAATTCTTACAACAATGAGAAAGCTTTTAAAAATTTCCATTAATAATTTTTTTAAATCTTATTACAAATTAAAATTACAGTGAAAAAAATTTTTAAAATTTGCATTATTAATTTTTTTAATTCATATAAAAAATTAAAATTACAATAATGAAAATGCTTTTAAAAATTTTCACTAAAAATTTTTATAATTTTCATGTGGAATTTTTTAATTTAATTTTTTTAATTCTTACAACAAATCAAAATTACAATAATAAAAATTCCCATTAATAATTTTTTTTATTTTCACATGAAATTTTTTTAATTTAATTTTTTTCATAATAATTTTATTAACATAAACATCATTAAAAAATTTTATAATGTCTATCAACTTCAGTGTAATTTTTTATAATACTGAATTTAATAGACATTAAATAAATTTTTCTAATAATTGAATAAAAAAAAAAAAAAAAAAAAATTAACAAAAAAATTTTTAAAAATTATAATGGCAAATTTTTTAAAATATTTTTTTTTAATAATTTATTGTTTATAAAAAATATAATTTTTTTTAGAATGTTGTTGTTCATGCCATTTTGGTCAGATTGACTAGTAGATATGATTCAAGCCCATAGATGGACGCTTTCATTTTCCCTTATTTTCGAAAATATCTTTATAATTTTTTTTTATAGAAATTGAAAAGTTATTAGAAAAAAAATAAAATAAAATAATAAAAATTTTTCAGTCGGAACATCTGCTGGGAAGTCAAGCGAAGGACATAGCGTTAATCGTCGGACCCATCGTGGCAGTGATTCTCGCGGCGATAACAGTATCTGCGACACTATTTATAATAGCAGCGCGTAAAAAACGCGCCACCCGCGGGACATACAGCCCCAGTGCGCAAGAATTCAGCAACCCGAGGGTGGAAATGGACAACGTAATGAAACCACCTCCTGAAGAGCGACTGATTTAAAGAACAAGAAGAAGTTTTAATCAAAACCAATAACAGAAAATCTCTCAGAATTAATCGACCATTACGGTAAAAATAATAATTATTATTTACTATTTCTAGTCCTCGCCGCATTATTCTCGGACCTTAAACCAGAAAATTAAGTAAATCGCTGAGCTGTGCAATTACTGCCAGCTACAATGAGGTAATTACGTTCGAACATAATTGCCTGCGGTTAAATCAATATAACGATTTTAAAATTTATTTTTTTTTTTTTCTCTAAATAAGCAAACCGCTCGGGGTATTTAATATCCAGGGCTTTTAAAGCAATTTATTAAGGGGTTATACGCAGTTGCGAGGCTCAAAAATAAGGTTTTTTTACGATTTTTTTGTGGACACAGCTTTTATTTACTAAGTACAAGTAATAGTAATTCTGAAAGAGCACACTTTGAAGAATATAATTTTTTTGTATTACTCGTGTCAAAATATTGATGTGCACCACCTCTGCAGATGATGTCCTGAACGACCTCCAAAAAAAGGCGCTCGGCGGTGAGCACGATTTTGTCGGTTTGGATTATCTGAAATAAAAAAAAAAGGTGAATTCTTTTA